ACCAAGGTCCTCAGATCTCATCCTCCTGAGTAGCTAGGATTACAGGCGTGAGCCACGGGCGCCCAGCTTGTTCCTGAGCATTTTTGCTCAAGGCTAGAACTCTACCTCTTGAATTAGCTCCTTTTTTGTTTTTCTGTCTCCCTGTCTGCCTGTCTACCTAGCCACCTACCTAGCTACTTAACTAGCTACCTACCTATTTACTTAGCTTCCTACCTACAAACTGATCCATCTTTATCTGTGCATATGATCAGTCTTTTAAATTGTTTTCCAATCTAGTGATACTAGCACCATTTAATGTCATGAAATTCCCATTTCCCTGGAAACTAAACTTCTAAAGTACCTGCTCTTGTACATTTTTTTTTATCGTTGAGGAATGTTTCTCTGAATGTTTCTCAAAATTTCCTCAGCTCTGTTGTGATTTTCTCAATAATCTCTACATTGTTAGCTCTAAATATTGTCTCTAGCAATGATCATATATTTTTGTTAACTTTTGGCTGGGAAAATAAAGCCACATGCCTACAATTTCAACACTTTTCTGTTTCATCTTCTCTTTTCTGGAACATTATATAGCTGCTCATCTGCCTGTGATCTCTCCCTTTCACAATTCCATTTGCTACAATGCAACAAACTATGTTTGCCTTTTATCATAACCATCCTATGTCTTTGTAAAATGCTATTTACTTGAAAGTCTCTTTTATGATATTCAAAGCCATGAAAAAACCTGGCTCCAGATCCTATGTCTCCTCATATCTAGCTATTTATCCCTCTTTTGACCTTGGTTCCAAACCTATGTGCTTCAGCCACAGTTGTGCTGTAGTTCTTACCACAGCTCACCTGCACAATTAGTTGTCTTCCTTCTGGATTTTTCTTCTGTTTCCTGGGTTTAGTACATTCTCCCTTCTTACAACCAAGTCCAACATTACAGGAACACTTAGTCATTAACATACCATACCTTCTTCTTATTACCAGTTACTGTATAAATTCATCTAAGTTGTAAACTTAGCACTTTTTTTTTTTGATCAGTTGTAAGGCCTGAACTCTGGGCCTGGGCACTGTCCCTCACCTCTTCAGCTTAAGGCTAGTATTCTACCACTTGAATCACAGCGCCACTTCTGCCTTTTTCTGTTTATGTGGTGCTGAGGAAACGAACCCAGGGCCTCATGTATGCAAGGCAAGCACTCTACCACTGAGCTACCTTCCCAGCCCAAACTTAGCACATTTTTTAGAGTTGACCCAAGGTGTGATACCTAGAAAGAAATTATTTCTAGGCCTGGAGAAGATTGCAATTTTGTTAATTTAAAAAAAAAACTTATTTTGAGGTAATTGTAGCTTAATGTAAGAAATAATATAAAGAATGTTGATATCCTTCATTGAGTTTCCTCAGTGATAAATCATAACAAGGAAATTGTACTGATACAGACTGATAATATAGTTCAGAATACATCAGTTTTTAATATGTTTATAAATATGTTCATGCATATTAAATTCCATGCAGTTTTTTAATAATACGTAGATTTCAATGATCACCATACTGATAAAGATTAATTTGTTGGTTTCATAATGAAAAAAAAATTTTTTGCGATACTGAGGATTTAACTCAGGGCTCTAATACATAGTAGGCAAGTGTTCTACCACTTGAGCCATGCCTTTACCCATGTTTTTGAGATTGGGTCTCTAACATTGCTTGACTGGCCTCCAGCTTGGAATCAATTTCCTACCTCCACCTCTAGAGTAACTGGGATTATAAGAGTAAGCCTCCCTGTCAGGCTTTATAATGCAGAGTTCTTTCTGGTAAAGTTTTGTTTTCCAATATGATATTCATATAAAAATACTTTACAACATGTTCTTAGGTAGCATGTAAATGAGTATTTTTGTGTTTTATTAGTTACAGTTTAATTATTATGGCCAGTGTTTGTTTTCACATTTAAAAAGTGATATGAAGTTGTAAAAGCAATATAAAGTTACATATTTTAGTTTGCAAGGTACGTCAGTTAAAAAAAAAGATAAGAAAATTATTATATAGAAGCTTGAGACAAAAATTGTGTAGGACATATATATATAAAAGACCTAGGATATACAAATCTTGGTATACTATATACCTTTATCAGAATGAAAAGATCCTTTTGTATGTTTAGCCTTGTTACTAAAATAAAGGCAGTCCCATCAGCCTTAAGAGCAGAGGTTTGGAAGTCAAACAACTCTGGGCTTTCCTCTTCTCCTTCCCCTGTGTTTGCAGCACTATACTCCATTCTAGATACAGTGGCGTATACAGTGGAGTATAAAACAAAGGTTATGCCACATGGAGCCTACATTCTAGCTAGGGAAGAAAGTAAACAAGTGAATAATTGAATATACTAGTTAGTGATATGACATGCATTGTAAGGTGAACCAAGAGTGCCAGGGAGCAGTTGCACTTCAGTTGTTTAATGCATACAACATAGACGTTGGATACAGAGCACAGGTAGAGAAGTCAGTTAAGAAACAATTGCAGCTGGGAAGGTGGCTCAGTGGTAGAGCGCTTGCCTTGCATATCTGAGGCCCTGGGTTCCATTCCTCAGCACCACATAAGCAAAAAGAAAAAAGCTGGAAGTGGCACTGTGGCTCAAGTGGTAGAGCGCTAGCCTTGAGCTGAAGAGCTGAGGGATAGCGCCCAGGCCCAGAGTTCAGGCCCCACGACCGGACCCCCCCCCAAAAAAAAGAAGAAACAATTGCAGTAATCCAGGCACAAGATAATCATGGCTGAAAATAGGTGGCAGCAGTAGAAGAGATAAGCTATAATCAGAGCCTATTTCATTTTGTAAACCTAGGCAAAGATGACATCTTTTGCTTGTTCTTTTTTGTTTTGTTTTGTTTTTTGGTCTGGTCATGGGCCTGAACTCTGGGCCTGGGTGCTGTCCCTCAGCTCTTCAGCTCAAGGATAGCACTCTACCACTTGAGCCACAACACCACTTCTGGCTTTTTTCTTTTTTGCTTATGTGGTGCTAAAGAATCGAACCCAGGGCCTCATGCATGCAAGGCAAGCGCTCTACCACTGAGCCACCTTCCCAGCCCATCTTTTGCTTGTTCTAAGGCTTGACCTCAAGGCCTCTTGCAGGCTTTTGACTCTGAGCTGGTGTTCTATCACTTGAGCTATGCCTTCACTTCTGGCTTTTTGCTGGTTATTTGGAGTTAAGAGTCTCATGGATTTATCTACCTGGGATAGCTCTGAGATGTGATGTTTAGATTTCAGCCTCCTATGTAGCTAGGATCATAGATGTGAACTGGCAGTTTCAGGCAAAGATGATTTCTTGAAACACCACTGTGGTATATAAGTGGAGAAAAAAGAATCAGTGATGATATTAACATTTTAGATTTGAAAAACTAGGTTTGATATGGAATAATTTGCCAGGGTGTAATCTAAGGAAATGAAGACTTTGTATTTGAACACGTTAAGGTCTTACGATCCCATTAAATTTCTAATGTGAGTATGTTATATAGGCATTTAGGGGTTAGGGAAGATGGTGGAAAGGAATGCAGAGTTCAGGACTTAAGCATAGTAATAACAGTTAAAGCCATGATCGTAGGTGAGCGGTTGTTGATGAACGTAAAGAGAAAGTGGTCAGTGGTTATATAACACTCCAGTATTTACAGGATTGGGAAAAGGGGAAAACCCAGCAAAGTAGAATTGAGTGGCCCTGAAGGTAGAAGTGGATCAAAGAGCAATGTCTTAGAAGCCCAGTATTTTTATTTCTTATTTGCACATTGGGAAGTAGTGAGGGTGTATTACTTATGGTTAGATGGATTCAACTGGAATGTGAGCACAAGTCTTCTGATTGACAGCTGGATACATTATTTTCATGATGCCTAGTTGTTCAAGGATGTATTTGCCTGCTATAAATCTGCTAATCTCTAATAGCCTCTTTTTTTGGGGGGGGGGTCCAGTCGTGGGGCCTGAACTCTGGGCCTGGGCGCTGTCCCTCAGCTCTTCAGCTCAAGGCTAGCGCTCTACTACTTGAGCCACAGCACCACTTCCAGCTTTTTTCTTTTTGCTTATGTGGTGCTGAGGAATCGAACCCAGGGCCTCATGCATGCAAGGCAAGTGCTCTACCACTGAGCCACCTTCCCAGCCCCTCTAATAGCCTCTTTTCAAAATCTCTTTTGATGAAAAGATTTATCTTTTTATTGTGCAGTCCTCATTACTATATTCATCTATTCATCTATATTATAGTATTGTAACAATTCTGTATTTGCTAGGCCCTAGGAATACTATAGTCAGCATGAATATACCCCTACCTTTATCTAATTTTCACCATAGAGAGAGGAAGGACATCAGCTATAAACAATTACATAAAACTATTTTTAATTGGTCAGACACCAGTGGTTCACATATGTAATTCTACCTACTTAGGAGGTTGAGATGAAGATAACAGTCTGAAGCCAGCCCAGACAGGAAACTCCATGAGACAAGTCTTATCTCCAATTAACCACCAAAAAAATGCAGAAGTAGAGCTAATTCAAGGGGTAGAGTTCTAGCCTTGAATAAAAATGCTCAGGAACAAGTTGGGTGCCTGTGGCTCACGCCTGTAATCCTAGCTACTCAAGAGGCTGAGATCTGAGAATCGTGTGGTTCAAAGCCAGCCCTGGCAGGAAAGTCTGTGGAACTCTTATCTCCAGAAAACCTGAAGTGGCACTGTGACTCAAGTGGTAGAGCGCTTGCCTTGAGCTGAAGAGCTGAGGGACAGCGCTCAGGTCCAGAGTTCAAGCCCTATGACCGACCAAAAAAAAAAAATGCTCAGGAACAGCACTCAGGCCCCAAGTTCAAGTCCCAGGACTGGCACACACACAAAAAAAGAATAGCCATTGAACCAGATTTCCCCATTGTGCTTCTCCATGTACTATAATAAAATATTGTTTGTAACCCAAAGTTAATATATTACAGTAATATAAAAGATTATCTTCCTTTTGGACAATGGAAGCTTTTTCTTCTTTTCCCTGCCTAATTCTTTTCTCTCCCTCTTTAGGAGTATGTATCCTGTTTGGAAATCTTTTCTCGAGGGAACAATGCAGGTAGCCCAGTCTCGGATCAATATATGTGAAAACTACAAAAACTTCATTTCTGAGCCTGCAAGGACAGTGAGAAGCATAAAAGAACAACAACTAAAAAGGGTATTATTTCTATTTCTGTTCTTATATATATATTAATATTTCAGTGTACATTTGTAATCTGTATGATTATACTAAATTGCATTGAAAACTTTAGCTTTTTAAAAATAAGCTTTTTAAAAATAATGCTTTTTACAAATGTTTTGGTAGCATTTTACTAAGATTTCCCAACATTCTTTCACTATTGTATTTTGTTAACTGATAAAGGTGTGTATGGAAATTGGAAAAACTCTTAGAAAACACTTAGAAATATTGTTTTTCGGTCTAGCACAAGTAAATATGCCTACATAGTTTCAAAATATCTGTTTTATATGCTTTTAAATAGTTACATTATTAATCCTACTAAGTCTTGAAAAAGTTTGCATTAATCATCTCAGTTTCTGCTAGAGCCATTTTGCATAATTGAAAGGAAGTTAACATGTTTTAACCAAATATATTAGTAACTTTATTTTAAAAAAAACAGTTTGCTTCAAAATTTAACAATACTAATTATACATATGAGTAAACATTTTTTTCAAAAGGACCTCTTTCTTTAATTATACCTTGCATCTTGTGTATACATTTGTCTAATCTGGGGAGGGGAAGGGAAATAACAAAACGGTAAAACAAGAATACAACATGACCCATTGCAACAATGAGACCCACAGAACAGTATTTGGGAAACAAACTTTACAACTGACGGTGGGGTGGGGGGGACTGACGAGGAGTGTAGGAGGTAGGGGAGGGAAGGGATAGTGGGACAACAACAAGGGAAGGGTAACAAGTAATTTCAAATTAGAGAAAAATATCTGTGTGTCTGTGTGTTCATTCATGTAGCAAGAGTGGAAAGCAAGCACAAAGACTTAATAGTAGTATAATTTTATACTTGGAAAGACTGTCTCCTACTGCCAATGTATTTACCAATTCTACTTCAATGACTAGGGCTATTAGAATGTTTTGAAAATATTAGAATGTTTTTCAATATTAGAATGTTTTAAAAGCATTTAACACATCTAATGCTTCTTTCCACTGAGTGAAATAGTGTCAGACCAGAATTCAATACCTAGGCAAAAAATGATTGATGAGATTTGAAAATTACTTAACTTGTTTTGTTATAGCTGATAATAATGGTGTTTATGTAAATCCTTTTAAGGCAGGTGTGGAACACTTAGTATATATTAGACATACTTGTCAGGACTTTGAGATTGCAAATAACAAGTCTACTTCAAATTGCCTTCAGCCAAGATGAGAATGTATTAAATTTTTTTTTTTGGGTCCAGTTGTGGGGCCTGAACTCTGGGCCTGGGCGCTGTCCCTCAGCTCTTCAGCTCAAGGCTAGAGCTCTACCACTTGAGCCACAGCGCCTACTTCCGGCTTTTTTCTTTTTGCTTATGTGGTGCTGAGGAATCGAACCCAGGGCCTCAGGCGTGCAAGGCAAACACTCTACCACTGAGCCACCTTCCCATTCCCAGCCCCTGAGAATGTGTTAATTTTTATAACTAAAAATTCTCTAAGACTTGGGCTGACCAGATCCAGGGCACAAATTAGAACCCATTCTTTCTTTCAGTCTGTTGTCTGCTGTCCCCAATGGTTTCATTCTCTCCACCTTGTTGGCCTCAGGTGTATAACTCTTAGCAGTTCTAGATTATTTTCAAAGTTTCAATAAAACTAACAAGATGATTCTCATAGTGAATACATTCCCACCACAGTATACAAAGGTTTTACTTTCTTTACAACCTTACCAATACTTTGTTTTTTTAAATTAAAATAATAGGTGTAATAGGTGTATCTAACAGATGTGAGATAATATTCATTGGCGTTGTGAGATAATATTTCATTTTGGTTTTGATTTCCCTTTGATTACTGATATTGAGCAATCTTGTGATTTATTTTTTCTTCACAATTAGCTTCTTAATTTTATAATTCTATATTTTTTCTTTTAATAATTACCTTAGACATTGCAATATGCCAATTTATTCATTATCTTAAATCAATAATTTTACTATTTTCAAACTTGGTTCCCAGTCCTTTATAATCAATTTTGATCAGTAGTTTACTACCTCATTAACAGTAGAAAAATATATATTTTTTTGGGGGGGTCCGGTCGTGGGGCCTGAACTCTGGGCCTGGGTGCTGTCCCTCAGCTCTTCAGTTCAAGGCTAGCGCTCTACCACTTAAGCCATGGCGCCACTTCTGGCTTTTTTCTTTTTGCTTATGTGGTGCTGGGGAATTGAACCCAGGGCCTCAGGCATGCAAGGCAAGCTCTCTACCACTGAGCTATCTTCTCAGCCCCTAGAAAAATATTTTAACAGTATAATTCTATTACTTTTGCATTGATGACTTTACCACTGAGCCACCTTCCCAGCCCCTAGAAAAATATTTTAACAGTATAATTCTATTACTTCTGCATTGATGACTTTATTTTGTTAGATTTTGTAACTTTGCCCATGTCTTTTACAATTTTTCTTTATTTCTACCCTGTGTTTCTCTCTCTATTAATCTGAATATTTCCCATTGATCTGCCTGGCAGTGCATCAACACTCAGTTCTAACTTTTTTTTTTTTTTTTTTTCCAGTTGTGGGGCTTGAACTCTGGGCCTGGGTGCTGTCCCTCAGCTCTTTAGCTCAAGGCTAGCACTCTACCACTTGAACTACAGCTCCACTTCTGGTTTTCTGGTAGTTTATTGGAGATGAGTCTCATAGACTTTCCTGGTGGGGCTGGCTTTGAACAATAATCTTCAGATCTCAGCCTCCTGAGTTGTTAGGATTACAGGTGTGAACCACTGGCACCCTGCTTCTAACTTATTTTTTAAACCTATTTTTTTGGAATCTTGATGCATTTTTAACTTCTAAAATTTTTTTTGATTTGTAAAAAATACATGTTCTGATTCAGATACAGTTCTCCACATTTTTTCCTTTGTCCTCTTTTCCCCCTACCCTTGAATCCAGAGTCTTGTGCATATTAAGAAAGTGTACTACCACACTACATCCTAACTCTTACCCCTTTCCTTTAGCTTCTCTAATATGTTACTCCTGATCTGTTTCATAATTCTACTATCTGAGCCACTTTGGATAGTTTTTTTTTTTTTAATCAATACCAGTATTTTAGTTTCTTCATTTGGGTCTATAACATTAGTATGCCTCCTAGTGCTGGAGGTTGTAGATAAAAATTATGGAAGCTCTGAGAGATGTTATTTTCAAAGTTTGACAGGCAGATAGAATGCTGAAATTTATAATGAGAAATTATCATAAGAATCATATGGTAGCCTTTTCTAGATCTATTTTTCTGTCAGTTGTGGGGCTTGAACTCTGGGCCTGGACTCTATCCCTGAGTTCTTCAGCTCAAGGTGAGCACTCTACCACTTCAGCCACAGCATCACAGTGGTTAATTGGAGATAAGAGTCTCACAGACTTTCCTGCCCGGGCTGCCTTTAAACCATGATCCTCAGATCTCAGCCTCCTGAGTAGCTAGGATTACAGGCATGAGCAACCAGCACCTGGGATCTAGATCATTTTTTTTATCTGCTAACATTAGCTTATAAGGGAAAACATGAGCCATCATAACCTAAGGCTTTGTGCCATTCTTATATTTGCTTGTCCATGCCTTTCTCATTTATACTAACATTTACTTACTTCTCTTGAAGTAATTCTGATTGAGAGACTGTTGATGTAACTCAATGTTAAAGTATATGTTTAGCATGTATGGCCCTGAACTATACCCCTAGCACCACACACATGAAAAGAAATAATTGTGATTCAAATTTGTGTAACAGTTTATAGTTTTCAAGTGGCCACAATATCCATTATGGTCTCATTTGATTCTCATCACTGCCCTGACCAGGAGTGTATTACATTTTTCAAATGATAAAACTAAAGCCAAAAATTGTTAGAGAGGTTTAGTAAATAGGAACTTGAATGTACTACTTTCTAATTCTAAACTCTATATAGTCTTAAAAAAAAAAAACAGAAGTCTACAGAAAAAATGTAATTTAACTCCAATACTTTAGTATACTACTTAATTCTCTGACTCCTTTTATCAGCTTTTGTGTTTGCAATCAAACTTATTAAGATTTTGAAGGAATACCAAATGGCTTTATTCACGTGCCTTTATTGCCATGATATGTGCAGCAACAAGTTTTTCATAGCTGTTCTTATGCCTTAATGTCAGTCAGCAGCAGAACTGGGTTATTTTGCAAAGCATGATTGTTAGGCAAACTTGATGCTGTTTGATATACTACTTGATATGGAAGTGCCAGCTGTTCATCAGATTTTAATTTATAATTTGAAGGACATTTAAAAGTGCAGATTCTTTTCCAGGGTTTCTTTCCTGAAGGGTGTCACATAGTCTTTAGGAAAAATGCATTTTCTGTGAACTTGAAAACTAAAATTACAATAATTGCACTTTTATATTTTACAGTGTGTGGACCAGTTGACAAAGATCCAAACTGAATTACAAGAAACAGTGAAAGATTTAGCTAAAGGCAAAAAGAAGTACTTTGAGACTGAACAGATGGCTCATGCAATACGAGAGAAAGCTGACATCGAGGCAAAGTATGTGTTTTTTGCCTTTCTTAGAAAATGATTATGCAAATAAACATTATCTCTGATAATATTTTGTTTTCTGTCAGTACAGACCATAGACTTACTCTTATGGTGTATTGGTTTTTATTTGACCTACATTTGTTATGTACTTTAGGTTACATTTTTCTTTTATATTGGCTAGTTTATTTTTAGTAATATAACAAAATGGAACTATTTGATTATTAAGCTGAATTTGGAAAGGAAACAAGATAAATGAGGATTGTGTTTATAGACTTGAAAGCTTAGGGAAAACTTTTGGTTTTGGGGGGTTTTTTGGGGGTTTTTTTTTTTGTCGGTCGTGGGGCCTGAACTTTGGGTCTGGGTGCTGTCCTTCAGCTCTTCAGCTCAAGGCTAGCACTCTACCACTTGAGCCACAGTGCCACTTCCATTTTTTTCTGCTTATGTGGTGCTGAGGAATCGAATCCAGGGCCTCGTGCATTCAAAGCAAGCGTTCTACCACTAAGCCACCTCCCCAGCCCTTATCGAAAGTTTAAAGTTGCTATGTTGTCTTAAATTTGGGGCTTAAGAACCTAATATTTATCATGCTAGAATGAATTCAGTTGTAGTTGAAAATATCATGATTCTCCACATGCCACTGAAGGACTGTGGGTATATCAAGTGCACAAGTGCTCTGATCCCCATGAAAGTTTGCCCACGCAGTATATTTTAATTTTGCATGAAATTCTAGTACATATACATTTTAGAATATGTTTTAGCAATTCTGCCAATTTCACTTTCAATGTTTGTAAGTTACAGTCTTTTATTTAGACAATAACAGGAAAAGAAGAAATTGGCAGGGTTTTTTTTTTTTTGCGATTGTGGGACTTCAATTCTGGGCCTGGGACTTAAACTCAGCTCTTCAGCTCAAGGCTAGCACTTTGTCACTTGAGCCACAGTGCCACTTCCGGTTTTCTGATGGCTTATTGGAGATAAGACTTTCCTGCTGGGTTTGGCTTTGAACCGTGATCCTCAGATCTCAGCCTCCTGAATAGCTAGGATTACAGGCATGAGCCACTAGCACCCGGCAGCAATTACTTTTAAGGTTATAAAATAAGTAGCATAGCAGAGATTTTTTGCAGTGACAACTGCATCATATATGGTAAGGAAAAAATAAACATATTATTGAACTGGACTCAAAAGGTGTATGAGTAGAATTGCTGAGACCCCCTTTCACTGTGCTGACTGCCTCAAAACCTGAGTCTGAACTCCTTGACATGAAATCAGACAACTTTGGACATTTGTAAAAATAGTCTAGCAAGGAAAAGGTGGCTATCTATCATGCTTTTTTTTCTACAAAGATTTTAAGTGACTTTGTAAATATCTTGTGAAAATTTAGCGATTACTGGAAAATTTAGTACAAAAGAATACTAAATGAATGTTCATAGAATTCTTGATGTTACCAGAAAGCATGTTAAATCTTTCCCTCAGTTAATTATTTTTCTTCTTTTATTTTTTGAACATACAAATATTTCTTATATTTTCATAGTCACTACACTCTTATTCCCAGTAAAATCTGAAGATTTTAGATTAGGGGAACTTGATTGGGGCTATCCTGCCATGATGGCTTATAGGAATTCTAGAACTGAGAACTCCAAGTTTGTTCAGCTTGTATACATACTTAATTTAGCCATGTCCTATAGGATGAAATGAGGGTAATGTCAGGACTGTTCCTGAGAAGTACAGACTTGATAGTCATTTAATTCACAGAGCTGATCATAAGGAACTACTTTTTAGTATGGCTCAAATCCAAAATGAAACATTGTAGTTCAGTATGTAATTTTTCTGGAAAAATAATTCAAGTACAAAATAATAACTACCTTTGTCTTCATTCATTCACTGTTTGGTACAGTTGGTACAGGGTTGATTAGGGTTAGAGTTAGCTTCATGCCATCAAGGAAGTTGGAGCCTAGAATTAGGAAGTACATTTATTCATTAGTAAATACAAAATAATTTAGTATCTGAAGTCATTTACTCAGTAACCTATTATTATAGAAATATGAAGCTGTTAGAACGCATGGAAAATCAAAAGATGAATTTTGCCTCCTGATAAGATGAACCTTTATAGAAACAGTGGTGTTTGGATAGAGTCTTAAAGATGAATATGGTTTTCAAAGTAGAGATAGCTACATATGATTTCAAAGATAGTGAGTAGACACCTTAACAGAGACCAGAAAAGCAAGAAGGATGCAGTTTGAAGGAAATGGTGAGCTCCATTTTGGATACATAAATTCTGAAGAGCCTTGGAGAAACTGACTTGGATATTTTTGGTAGGTAGTCAAGTACCCAGTCTTAGATGATAATTTGGAACTGAAGATCTCACTTTGGAGGTCAGTTACCCGTCAAATTGATGTTTTAGGGGTGCAGTCAAATATATAATTAGATATGATTTTGAAGAGTAGATAGTAAGGTATAGTACATAAAATAGTTCATTATTTGCACAGTGTATAATTTGTCAGAATCTTGTCTGTTTATTCCAGTCTTTGAAGGAAGATACTGTTTTGGTCTTATGTAGGTTGATAAAGAGCTAATTCAAAAACTTAAATCCTTATTTTGGAAGATAATGGTGTACAACTCAGCCTAATTTGGCTAATGACTAGAAAAAGGAGAACTAAGAATGCTTCAGCCACAGTCTTATCCTGAACTAGTGCTCACTTGCTTAAAGTGTGTGATCTTTGCTTTTCTAAATCAAAATGAATAGGAATCTGATAAAAACAAAAAATACATGAAAGATGAATATGACAAAGTAAGAAATATCAGGAATATCTTAGACCCAACTTTTTTTGTGGGGCTGAGAATAGAACCCAATACTTGTACATGCTGTGCAAATGTTCTATCACTGAGCTATACCCCAGCCCTAGATCCGTGTTTTTTCTAACAGGGCAGAAGAGTGGGGTGAATATACGTTCATCACTGATTGCTTTCTTTCTTATTAGAGAGATAAGCAGCTACCTTTGCTGTGTTCTTCACAGTTGCTCTGCAGAGACTGGTTGCTTTGTCTTCCAATCCCAAGTGGTCTGCAGCTGTAATTTATATGAAGGCATAGCTGCCAGCACATGCATTTAATTCTCCTATGGCAATCTCCATGACACCACAGTTAAGACAAACACTGCATCTTCAGAAAAATCACTTGTCACAGGATTGTTGCTTGTTCCTTAGCATTTGTCTGTTGACTTTCTCTGTGTGGTTGTCTCTAGTCATTTGGATTCAAACCAATATATTTTACTACTGATTTTTAGATTATAGTTCCCCTCCCAAACTTACAGGAATCAAGAGATATGAACATTACAGTGGAAGATTAAACACAGCAGTGTCCAAGGACCTTCTCTGTAAGTTCAGCAGAATACCTTTTGAAGTGGAGAAAGTATACATAAGCAGGCACCCATACATGAATAACTTCTAGGGGAAGGAATATTGAGAGAAAGAATTTTTTAAAGATTGCAGATTGCACTTAGCCTACTAATCTTTGCTTTTACAGTTTTGTTGTCTCTTAAGTTTCTCTGACCTTTCTTACAAGAACTAGAATGTGTGAAATTCTATGTTATGGAATAACTAACAGCTCATCATTCTTTTAATTAGGAGACACCGAAGTATTTTCTTTGTTAAATTTTATTTTTGTCATTGAGGATATTTTATTATGTTGATCTCTGTATTTATCATAATATTAAATTCTTCCTGTGATAAAACAATGGCAAATCAACATCACTCTTAATTTTCTATTTTTAATTAGTTTTAGAATAGTATCTTCCAAAAAAGTTATTTAAAAATTAATTATAATGTTAGTAATTGTACAATTTATAATTTTATTAAACATTCATTTCTATTTTTATTATAGGTCTAAACTTAGTCTTTTTCAATCAAGAATCAGTTTACAGAAGGCAAGTGTAAAGGTGAGGTTTGAAATCGTATATTAATAATTGAGTAAATAAAGAATTGGATCTTTCAAGGGTGGAAGTGGGTTACTTCTACTTTACAGAATCATTTTAAGGTTGTTTTCATTCAGCTGTCACCACTTTGGATATAAGTTACTTCTCAAGACTATGTTAGGTGTTAGGTTTTTATGCCTTACCTGCTTAGGAAGTGTATGTCTAACTCATAGTATAGGAGACAATGCAATGGCTTTAGGAAGTGCTACAAAAACTAGTTTACTAGCCAGGCGCCGGTGGCTCAAGCCTGTAATCCTAGCTACTCAGGAGGCTGAGATCTGAGGATCACGGTTCAAAGCCAGCCTGGGCAGGAAATTCCGTGAGACTCTTATCTCCAATAAACCACTAGAAAACCAGAAGTGGTGCTGTGGCTCAAGCGGTAGAGCGCTCACCTTGAGCTGAAGAGTGCACGGACAGCGCCCAAGCCCAGAGTTCTAGCCCCATGACCGACAAAAAAAAAAAAAACTGGTTTACTTAACCTTAAATCCCTGGGCAAGTCTTCTCAGATGAAAATGAGTTTTCCTGGGAGGCCTTCAAGCTGTAGAATGTTCAATAAGTTAATACTTACTTTACTGCAAGGCTCCCCACCAGCAGGCAGTTCTAGCATATTAGAAGTGTTAATAGTTTAAAAAACTATTTTCTAACTCCAATACATTTATTTATGTCCTCTGAGATAGGATAGTTAATTTCAAACCTTTATTTTTCCATTTGCATAAAATGAGCAAAGTATTTCTTTCTCTAGAAAGTTTTAGAAGTATGTTTAAGTGTAACAACTATTTTAAAAGTGTTCTTCTATTATTGTATGTAGACACTATTTTGTTCCTCGAAGTGATGAGTAATTTTGTGTATATATAAATGTGTTCTTGATATGGTTATGTTTATTCCTGGTGGGAAGCCATTAATTGCCAGCTGGAAATTCATAAGTTCAATAGCAGTTTGCACTGATGGTATTTTTATTTTACTGTGTTCTAGTTGAAAGCCCGACGATCTGAGTGCAATTCCAAAGCTACTCATGCAAGGAATGACTACCTTCTCACACTAGCAGCAGCAAATGCACATCAGGATCGCTACTATCAAACTGATTTACTTAACATTATGAAGGTAATACAGTTTTAATTTCTATGGTAATCTCATTTTGTTAAAAACAAAACTAGTGCCTTAGAGATTTAGTTCCAGTGGGAGAATGTGTGTCTATCTCTGGGTTCAAACCCAGGTACTGTACCAAAACAAAAATCAACTCATGAATATTAGGTATTTGGCATTGAGTCTCTAGTAGTAAGACTACTTTGTATTTTATTGGAATGTATTTGATAATATTTGGATGACCTATGCTTTAAGTAACTTAGAATTTTTAGTGTTAGAAAATGTTTAGGGTTGGTAATAGAGTTCAGTGATAGAGTGCTTGCCTAACACATGTGAGACCTTGGGATTGATCACCCATACTGCCAATAATAAGTAAATAAAGACAAAATACTTAAATCCAAAGCATAGTAAAGGGTCCTTAGCTACTGTAGATATTTGCTGTGTAATGATTATTGATATATAAGATGGGTATATAAAGATATAAGATAATTACTCTTAAACTAGGATACTACTTCTGAGTCATTTCTTTAGAAGCATTAGAATTGATAAAATATTGGGTCAAAGCAGAATCTTCAAGTACCTTATGAATCACCAGAGAAAGGCTGTATATTGCAGGTTTTTTTAAGGTTATATCTTTATTTTCTGAAAAGCATTTCTGTTAAAAATTATATTTAATGCTTATGCTTATTTTTGTTTTTTGGTCCGGTCTTGGGGCCTGAACTCTGGGCCTGGGCGCTGTCCCTCAGCTCTTCAGCTCAAGGCTAGCACTCTACCTATTGAGCTACAGCGCCACTTCTGGCTTTTTTCTTTTTGCTTATGTGGTGCTGAGGAATCGAAGGGCCTCAGGCATGCAAGGCAAGCACTCTACCACTGAGCCACCTTCCCAGCCCCTGCATATGCTTATTTTTATAGAAAGTATATTTTTATAGTATATTTTTTAAGTAAAATATTAATTAGAATTTTGGCTATTAGCCATGTTTATTATTAAACTGGATTTTAAAATCTTTCTAATTTTATCTTTAATATATTAAGGTTTACAGCTGTATTTCATGGTTTTGAATGTCAATGGGACAAAGAAAAGGAAATATCTAGTGGTTAAGTGAAGATATTTCTAACTGTAGGTATTATTTTGAAATGGAGATAGATTGAATGGTAGTATATCCAAACTCCATCCTGGTCTTTCCCCATCTACATAACTTGTATTTTTTTCTAGTTCTAGGCCTTAAACTAAGGACCTGAACTGTTTTGCTTAAGGCTAGCACTCTAGCACTCTACCACTTGAACCACAGCTCTACTTCCACCTTTTTGGTGGATAATTAGAGATAAGAGTCTTACAGACTTTCCTATCCAGACTGGCTTCAAACCACAGTCCTCAGACCTCAGCTTCCTGAGTAGCTAGGATTATAAGCATGAGCTACCAAGACTCAGTTCCACCTATATTTTGAATCTTCACTCAAGATAAAAAAAAGAAAGGGAGTAGAGGAGAAGAAAACCATTTTAATCTACTGCCACTTGTTCCCGTTGCTTCCAGATAAGCCCAACCATGGAGTGCTTTCCTATTTTACCAAGAACTCAAATGTGGGATCAATTCTTTCTCAAAATGCTGTTTTTCAAAATGCTCTTCTCAAATATATGATTCTTAACCATTCTCCAACAAACACAGTGCTATGGTGAAATGGCTTGCTAAGGAATAGGAGGCCATTGAAAATGGGAATGCAGCTGGAGCAGATACTCTTTTTTTCTACAAGGATCTAGAAAAGAGATCAACTGTTCTAGAAACTATAACGTAGAGAGGACATTTTCTAAAACTTTTGCAGACAAACAGGAGTGTTGGAAGAAGTCATTAGATTAGAAACTATTTGAATTTTTTCTTTCACTTTTATTCCTAAAACTCCCTTTTTAAAATCATCTGTAAAGCTACAACTTTTGCTAATTAGAATACAAGTTAGAATAGTGAAAGACATAGAATTGTTTTGACATTCAAATGAAAACTCTGCATATATTTAACCATACAGTATTGAACCTAGACACATAGGTGTCTTATTTGGATATTGTTAGGCATAGTGCTTTACACATAAAAGGACAATTTGGAGACTAAGCCTCTCATTCTCACCTGTTCCTCTAAGGAAATATTGTATAATAAGATTCAAACAATGCATTTACTAAAGACAATTTTTAACACAGCTTGTACTTAAGGTTATGCTATATGCTGTATGTGTCTACCAGCTGGATCCGCTTGATAACTACCAGTTGAATGTACTTGACCAGAAGTACTTTATACTTTGGAGGATTTCGGATTTTATTTTTTTATTTGTATGTTTCTTTTTATTTTTAAACATTATAAGGTATAAAATTTTGTTTGAGTCATTAACAAATTCAAGTTCTTTCTAGTTTTTAGAGGTTCCATGCAATGCAGATTTATCACCACAGACTTGTTGTAGATTAGAAGTCCAAGAACAGTGTGGCTTAACTGATTCTCTGCTTAGTCTCATCTGGCCAAAATCAAGGTGTTGACAGGATATAATGTTCCTTTCAAGGGTATCTGTGGGTGAATTATCTTCCAAATCCTGGTTGTTAGTAGAATTCTATTCCATGTGATTATAGGACTGAAGTCTCTCTCTCCTAGTTGGCTTTCATCTGGGTGAGTCATTCCCAGCTTTAGAGGTGGCCTGCATTCCTTGGTTTATGGGTCCCTTCTTACATTTTCAAAGCCAGCAAAGCAGATTATAAAATTAAGCATGCTTAACCTATATATGTATGTGTGTATATGTATTTTTTCAAGAAAACTTTAGTTTTATTTTTCATAGTATGATTTAATTGTTTTTCTTTTTCAAGCCTATTTCTCTTGCTTTACATCCTCTTTTTTTTTTTACATCCTATTTCTTGGGAAGATTAAACATTTGACCCTATTTCTATTAATACTATATATACCATCCTCAACTCTTTTCACAGCTTTGTCCTTACAGTTATCTGTATGTGTATTTTTCCTCTCAGTGGCCAAACTTTTCAAGTTAGAGGCAACTCTTTTGTCCCCCATAGTTCCCTTCAGTAGCCAGCCCATCTCAGGTTTAGCTAGCTGCTAGGGCTCTAAAGTTGTACTCTAATGTGATGGTCCTAGGAATGTATGGAATGAATACATTTTAATGTTCTTTTCATCAGTCACAACAGCCACATTTGAAGTGCTCAGAATACACATATGGCTAGTGACTATCATGTTGGATTGTGCAGTTCTGTTGTTCAGAAATAATATGTAGCTTTTTTAGTTTTTGCTGTTTTGTTTTTTTTTTTTCTGTTGCCCCTTGCTCTGTCTGGCAACAACTCTGATAACCATTTTTTTTCCTAACATCCACAGCCGTGATTAAATTCAAAATTAATTGTGCCTTTGTTTGCACTTTAATTTAGTTGTTCCTCATATGGAAAACTTTCATATGGTAGTTTCCAGTATTACTCTAAATGTTAGGTTTTAATTTTTTCAGTCAATTCTTTTTTAATATGTGGAAATATATTTTTATATATTAATTTGTTCTAGTCACTATGTAACCCTGCATAGCAAATGACTGCAGAGTTTAGTGACCTAAAATAATAACATTTATTTTGCTTTTATATCTGTACTTTGGTTAGAACCAGTAGAGATTACTTTACAATTCCATATCATCTAGAATAGCTCAAAGACTAGGGTCTGGATTCTAAGAGCTTAACTTTCCAAAGAAGCCTATTACATGAAGCTTCTATCTTGGCTCTCCTGGCTTTCTCACAATTGTATGATTGGGTTTGCATGACAAATGTAAATGAGACAGAGTTAGAGCACATGCTAGGCACAGACCCTGTCACTTTTTATTAAAGTCTACTAGATAATACTGTCTCTCTTCTGATGCATTGTATTTATTGAAGTAGTTACAAAGTTTTGACCATTATTCAGGGGTGTTGAGGGATTAGATTTTACTTGTTAATGGAATCTGGTAATGTTATGGAAGTTCGCAGGTAACTAGAAGTACTGTTATGACCATTTATTGAAAATATAGTCTGCCAAAAAAAAAAAAAGAAAATATAGTCTGCCACATGACCTTGTGTCCTGCAACCTTACTGACATAGTTACATCAGTAGATTTTTTTGTGTGTGTGGACTCTTGATAGTTTTTAATAACTATGATCATGCAAAATTGAATAAAGAAAGTTTTCCTTCTTTTCTCCTGATCTATAAGGGTATACCTTACTTGATTGTAGCAACTAAAATCTTGCAAAATGTTAAATAGAAATGGTAGAAGTGAAGCTGGGCACCGGCGGCTCATGCCTGTAATCCTAGCTGTTCAGCAAGCTAAGATCTGAGGATCACAGTTCCAAGCCAGTGCAGGCAGGAATGTTCATGAGATTCTTACTTCCATTTAACCATACAAAGAAAAGCTGGAAGTAGAGCTGGGGTTCAAGTGGTAGAGTGCTTACCTTGAGCAAAATCACTCAGGAACAGCTCCCAGACCCTGAGTTCAAGCCCTAGGATTGGCACAAAGAAAAGAAAAAAGAAAAAGAAGAAGTGAGAGTAGACAACTTAGTCCTGAGATCTTTTGGGGTCATTAAGAAAACTTTTTTAAAAATTGTGGTAAAAAGTACTTAACATAAAATTTGTCATTTTAATCATTGTTAGATAAATAGTTTGTTGGCATTTAGAACACACTTGTGCAATAATCACCACCATCTACCCCCAGGATTTTATTATATTTCCAAATGAAAACTCTATAACCAAGTAACTCCCTAGTCCTCTTTTCCTTGTCTCCTGGCTACTACCATTCTACTTCCTGTCTGTATGAATTCCACTACTCTATGAACCTCATATAAGTGGAATCATTTCCAGACACTAGTGACTCATGCCTGTGATCTAGCTACTCAGAAGGCTGAGATCTGAGGATAATGGTTGAAGCCAGTCTGGGCAGAAAAGTCCCTGTGCAACTCTTACCCAATTAACCACCAGAAAACTGGAAGTGAAGCTGTGGCTCAAAGTGGTAGAGCATTAGCCTTGAGCAAAAG